CCCAGGGGCGAGATGTGTGCTGTCTTCCAGGTCTTGTGGGGGGGATTCCTGCTCGGTTCTGCAAACTAGAACACTGTGTGTCATGCCTTTGTCAAAGCAGGAGCCTTGATCTGTGTATACGGGTGAGAAATTAATCACAGAAAGGATTTATAAAAGAGTGAAGGGTGGAGAGTGCAGTTCTGCTACACTGAACTGGTGTGTGTGGGAGCAGGAGGGATAGGGTTACCCAACAGTCCTGATAAAAACTCCTGGTCACAAGCTCTCTTACAGTGATGCTTGCAGTGTTTGGTGACTGAGCAGCTTGTTTTAAAAGTAGGTAAGCATGAAATGTACATAAACTGCAGCTATTCTCAGAGGACACTGTAGTCGGGAACTGTGTGTAAATTGTACTTTACTTGGGTTTCTGTAATGGTGATAAAATCTCTGGTTTTGCCAGTGATTCTCCATGATGCACAAAATCCTCAATAAAGGATGTCTGACACTTTCACAGCATCTGTCACTATATAAACACAGCCTATTAACAGTTTTATCTTTCTGAGTAAGAAAACTTTATATATCCTTAATTAAACCATTAGCGCAAAATTACTGGTATATTTAGTCTGGTTAATGTGTTGCTCGTCACTTTATGATCTGGCATAAAGCTGGAATGTTGCAGATGATATTTGTGTTGTGCTTGATTCTGTAGAGCAAACGTCGTCCTTTGTGTTACATGAAAACACAGTCCTGTTCTTGTTCCTGTGAAACGAGAATGTTGGACTGGCCCCAGAATAGTGGGAGATTTACTGGGTGTTGGAGTGAAAGTCAGTGGAGGGGCTTGTTTTGGGTCTTTGGCTTCTGTTGGAACAGTTGAGGTGACCTGTGTGCTTTTGTGGTTTTGATCACTTCTACTAAATCAGCCTGTGCTACTCTGTGTGCTTGGCAACCTTAGCTGTACCCTCACAAAGTACTTTTTTATTCTGTAATATGTTGGTGTCCTTTGAAAGGAATCAAATACAGCGTAGTCATAACAGATTGTAGAACTGAAGATATCTGTAGGGCTTCTGGAGACCAGGACGTTATCTTGAAGGACCGTCAAACTTCTCAGCATGGCATCTGACAAAATACACAGGGTGCCTGCAGGCTTAATCTGCTTTTAGGAGAGGAGCTCCTTTACGTGCGTTGCAGGAACATACTCATCATGTCACAAAGTTATCACTGCTCTAGTACGGGAGATAAGGGAAGCTGCCTGCTGTTGGGATTTCCTACTCCTTATTTTCTACTCCCATCCAGAAAGTCTGCAAAGGTTTGAAATAACTTCTTTTAGAGATTTAAAGCCCTTATTTGCCACCATTCCTGGTGCATGTGATTGAGCTGTTGGGAGGTCCAGGATGTTGATTTTGAGCAGGGCTCATCCTGTATCACATGAACTGTTTTCTGCTGCGAGTCTCCCAGAGATCAGAGCACTGAAGAAACGAAGTGTGCGTGTGACTGAGTTCAGAAACGGAGAGTAAGGCTGCCAGGACAGCAGCTTTGTCCAAGCTGAGGTTTTAAAGTGCGCGGGTGTATTAATGACCAAGGCTGTGACGCAGCGGACAAGCCTGTTCATATCAGGAGGGGAAGCAGAAATGCCATGAAGGGAAGCTGGACTCATGTCTTACTCCGTGTGATGGTCACCCGGCAGTGCTCAGTGCTTGCTTGGTCTTGCCCACACTGCAGCTCCTCCTAAAACTTTTAGCCCCGTACAGGCAAGGTTACATGTAAATGTCGGTTGTGCTCACTGTCGGTGTTTCAGGAACGGACGAGTACCCGTGGTCTGTCTGGGTGTCTTGGGGAGAGCTACCTGTTGACTGGTGCTGCCCGTTGGACGCCTACCCGTCCGGGTTGGGTGGAGCTGAGCGTTGCAGGAGCTGGAGGAGCTGAGCTGTGCAGCCAGTTGGACCGGTCCTCCCGCACTGTTTGATCCCCGTGGGTGTGGAGCTCTGTGGTGGTGCTGTCATGGGTGGGCTACTCTTGCAAGAGCAGGCATTATACAAGTGCTTGCGGGCAGCAAGTTGCTCAAACCAGTTTAAATGGTGGCATCTCCTCATGTCTACCAGTAGAGACTGTTGCATGAACAGTACCTTGTAGGAGGAGTGATATGAAATGTGCACAAAGCTTATTTATATAGAAATATTTCTATATAGGCATGAATGTGTGTATTTCACAGCATTAAGTAGCAAAGCTGCTTTGTATTTGGATGAGCCGCTTCTCCCAGCAGCGGCACAGGAGTTGAGGTGGCTGGTAGGGTGCTGCCGCAGCGCTGCAGCCTCATCTGGCAGGACCTACACCAACATCTGCGCCTTGATGTGCTGGGGATGATGGTGAACAAAGATGTTTTTGAGTGGGTCAGCTTGCATATTGAAGCCTGCTGTTTGCTGTAGCGTAGTCCTGGAGTACCAATCCTTGAGTCGTTCCTTGGCTTGCATCCTTCGTGTGACAGGCGGTGGGCAGTAGGCATCTGGCCACCTTTAAACAGTTTTGTTGAAGGTGGCAAACACAAGGGTTAGGCAACTTAGTTTGTGTAGAAGGAAAGGGGGACAACAACTAATAGGATGTGCTAAATATTTCTCTGTACTGAGTGGCATTTGGTACAAAATGCGAACAGCTGTTTTGGGCATAAGTCTCACAAATCCTACCCTTTTCTTTATTGTTCAGCTGCTCTCCAGGCCCTGAAGCGTAAGAAGAGGTACGAGAAGCAGCTTGCACAGATAGATGGCACGTTATCGACAATTGAATTTCAGAGGGAAGCCCTTGAGAATGCCAACACGAACACTGAAGTGCTTAAGAATATGGGTTTTGCTGCTAAAGCGATGAAAGCTGCTCATGACAACATGTAAGTTATTCCCTTATGCATCTCTCTGTAGGACCTTTAGTTTGCAATTTTTTTGATCTGCTAAATGCCAGGTGTTTCGTAACCAAAGGTGGAGCTAGAGTACCAAAATACTCTCTTAAAAGGCTCTAGCTAATTAAACTAAAATACTAGATACACTTTCATATTGAACAAAATATGCAAGTATTGATGCTTTCTCAGTGTGCCACCATTTTATACGGCACACAGCCGCTGCCTTTGTCCAAAGGACGGCTGGCACCAGTGTAGTCTAAAGCATGTGAGAGGGTGCACTGGTAACAGATCCACCTAATAGCAGCAAGAATTTTAAGCCTCAAGGGGAGGCTTAAAACTTAGTTCTGTGCAGTGGAGTTTGTGTATGTAGCAATAATTAAAGGTAAACTGCATTATGGGAATGTTGTACTTGCTCCAAAAGCAAATATTGTAGATGTAATGTAATAATGCTGGATCAGGGAACAGAGCAAATTATTATTAATACCAGTAATGCGGAATGAAACCTCTTCATATGAAGTCTCTGTATATAACTGCTGTGAGCTAAGCTTTTAGGGAAGAGTAAAAAATACATGCATAATTTTGAGACCAGGGGGATAAAATTCAGACTTGCATGCGAAGAATATTTTTGGAAAAGGACCTTGTAAGTGTCACATGGTGTGGCATTTCTAGAAGAACCAAGAAATACAGTCTTAATTGTTAATTGCTGATTACATTGAACTCGTTCCCTTCTTTTACAGGGATATTGATAAAGTAGATGAATTAATGCAGGACATTGCAGAACAGCAAGAGCTGGCAGATGAGATTTCAACAGCCATCTCAAAGCCAGTAGGATTTGGGGAAGAATTTGATGAGGTATGCTTTAAATCCGCCTCTATTTATATCAGAGAATCATAGAACCGTTTAGGTTGGAAAAGAGCCTGGGTCCTGTTAACCGAACAGTAGCAAGTCCACGACTAAACCATGTCCTTAAGCACTACATCTACGTGTCTTTCAAATATCTCCAGGGATGCTGACTCAGACAAGATCTTTCTTTTAAGATCTGCGTATTGCATGTGTCTAGGTGTAGTTACTAGGGTATAAAATCTCTCCTAGAACTTGTTGCTGGCTCTTCCTTCCGGTGCCTATAGCAGCTGTGACCCTGGCCTGATCTGCGACTGTTTGGACTTGGATTTCTTCTTCTCTTCACTGCTTTCCCCACCCTCCTCACCCTCCCAAGAGATTTATGTGCAGGAATTCAGATGAAGAATGAGACTCCTCGTCTCCTCAGTTTGCTCTAATCCTGTGCATTTAAGCTATTTTCTTTAATAATTCTTGTTCCTCCTTTAAAAACCTAGGATGAACTCATGGCAGAACTAGAGGAACTAGAACAAGAAGAACTAGACAAAAACTTGCTGGAAATAAGTGGTCCCGAGACAGTACCACTACCAAATGTGCCCTCAATATCAATACCGTCAAAGCCAGGTATGTATGGACCTTTACTGGAAACATCTCGAGATGGTTAAAAAGAATGCTTATTTAACTGCCAGCTCCTCGGATTGGAGAGATCTCGCTGCAGGCAACGCTGATGTCTTGCTTGAAATTGCTTCGTGAATCACAAATTACATCTAGTGCCGTTTCTCCGTGGGGGTAACCGGCCTTTCATAAGAACCACAGAAATCAATAGCTGTCACAGGAGCAGTTGTTATCTGCTCTAGCACTACCAGTTTATCTGCAGCATGGATGATGCTCAGGGTGGAGCAGAGATAGGGAGAAAGGAAACCTTCTACCAGTTGCTGTGGGCCCAACAGGGAGGTTACCTTGACAAAAATACCAGGACTATAAAAGGGAGGGAAGAGAAAATTAACTCTTGGATTCCCCACTGAACTGTGCTTCGTTGCTGCTGCTGCTTAGTTTTTTAATTCGATCCCTGCTTTTCTGGCTTTTGGGAGGAACTAACCTCAGAGGCCCCTCTTTGGGGACAGCTGTGGCCTCCTCTGAGGTTTGCACATACTCAAGCCAGGCAGAACCAAACTTAGGGTCATCCCAGAACACATCTGTCTAGGAAATTGTAGTTCGTGTGGTGATGTTATGTGGAGAATCGGAAAGAAATGTTTGTATTTACATGGACAGTTCAAAGCTGCTGTTAAATCTGAGCTGATCACTGTTCTATGAACTAGAAGTGATACCTCATGAAGTACAGTTGAGTTGGAATACCTCTGGCCTGCATTAATGGGATATGAAGCTTTACTAGCCTAACTTGAATTGAATTGAATCTGAATCTGCCTTAGTGTATTATGAATAAGTTGTAGACTTTGCAGCTTTATTTCACACGCTTACTTAGGAAAAATGGTCCAAAAAACTAGTGGATGAAAATAGTTCCAGTTGGTCAGTGTATCTATAATTATCTTGCTGCCTTTCCAGGCTCAAAAGGACCTGGGAAGCCGCAGACACTGCCAAACAGCAGGTTCTGCTTTAGGTGGCGGGCTGTGAAGGTTGCTCCTTGTGCGTTATAGTTCTTTTATTTTGGCATAATTGATTCTGTGTTGTTTCTAGTTCTGTTTTGCTAGGCAGAGTTGCTGATGAGTGTGGATGAGAGGGGAATGAGTTATATCAAAATATCTTAACTCTGAGACTTGGTTGAGATTCAGATGCAGCAGCAGGAGAAATAGATTAAATAAACATGTGCCTTACCTTTTCATTTCCTAGCTGGTTTAATGAGGTTTGTTCTCTAAATGTTCTTTGGGTAGGGACGTGAAAACATACTGACTTGAACCCAAATATACTTTTTGCATGATATTAGGTAGTAGTGACCTTGCACTAGTAAGAGGCACTATAATTGTGCCCCTATTTAAGTAACTATACAGTGTGAGACTTATGTGGATGTAGCACTTCCTAAAATCATAAAAATTAGGAATGTTACTGTAGTAAAAACTGTAAGTATAAAACTCAGTCTTTTATAGGATTTATATTAATCTGCTTTTGGATGGAAATTAGAATGCCATTAATGTATTGAAATGGCGTGCTGTTTTTCATGTAAATAAAACTGCTTCTAAGACCGCCATTTGGGAAACCTTGGGATTCTGGGGTGGTGGTGGGTGGGGATTTTGTCTAGTGCCTTTTTTTTTTTTTAAAAACTGAATTGTTTTTCACTTAAAATTGGCTTAATATACACTGGGATTAAAAGTTTACTTCTGGTCATCATGGGTCAGACTTCAAAGGGCCTGCTTTGCCTGACAGCGCAGGTACGTGCTTGATGTGTCTTTTGGAAATAAGTAATGTGTCTTCTGCGGTAGACCTGACTGTATTACCTCCTTTTTATTCATTGAATGGAAAATGATCGTGAGCTTTCCTGCTTTTCCGGTTCTCAGGAGCTGTCTGGATTTTGACTTAATCACTCTGAGTAAGAAGTTCTTTGCTGTTGCCTGTCAGCTAAGTTGATGACAGAAGAAATTCAGGCAAAAGTTGTTTTTTTGTTTAACGGAGCCTGGAAGAAGCTTAATATAGAAAAACAGATTCCAAACTTGTACAAATGATAGGTCTTGAGTTTGACTTAAAGCTGGTTCAGTTCTTTCTCACGTAAATGTTTCATTTGGAATGACACAAACCATTTTGACTATGAATGATTTGATTCTTTTTCCCCCCTTTGAAGCAAAAACACTGCCTGAGGAAATGACAGCTTTTTTTTGGTATATTCCAAATTATTGCAGCTATTTGTGGGTTAAAACCTTTTTGCTGAGTTAATGGTTTTCATCTCCAGAAAGTGGACTTGTCATGTTATGACAAATAGCAGCAATTGCTTCCCTGGAAGGACCAAAAATGATAACGAGGCAGCGTGTAGCCTGCTGCTTAACATCCGCTTCCAACCAGCTACTAGTGAGCGCGGCAGGAGGAGGGGAGTAGCGTGTCCCAGGGCTGGTTAGCTCTTCAGCCCCTCGAAGAGCTTGAACTGACACAAGAGTCTGAGGACTCCAAATTGTGTGCCTGGCTAGACCGAAACACAGCAGCCTCATTTGTTGCACTTTGAGGATTTAAGATGCAACATGGAATTGATTTTTCGTGGAAGAGAGAGTGCAATACTGAGATGTCAGATGAATTTCCGTAAGAAACTGTATCCCTCCGAGAGGGGCTCAGAAGCTGAAGGCTTGGGGTCTTCTGCTTGGAGGCTTGGTGATCATGCTGGTGTACACATCTTAGCCTTCATGCACTTTTGCATTCTTCCCATGTGAGCTGTTGTCTTTTTCCACTTAAAGTGGTAATATCAGAAAGTTTAGCCCATGCTGGCTTTTTCAGAAGGCACCTTTACCTTCAATTCAAAAAGGTCTTCTCTTTTCCTCTGCTGGCATTTGGTGCTTCATTTATCAGTTAGGTCAGCGGCACAGAGGCTTCTCTCCTACAAAGAATCGAGACAGGCTTCTGTCAACGTTCCCACTCATGGTTTGGTTTTTTTTTTTTCATGTTTTGCAGCCAAGAAGAAAGAGGAAGAGGAGGATGATGACATGAAAGAGCTGGAAGCTTGGGCAGGAACCATGTAACCACAGCAGTAACGTGCTGGAAAAAAGACTTTGATTACCTATTCTGGGTGCAAATGTGTTGTGTTGAGGAGAAAGCATAAGGAAAATGTCTTTATCTTTAATTTTAACCCAAAGCAGTGGGAACTGCATTGCTGTTTTCTGCATAGCATGGTCTGCACAAAGGAAAGAAAGGGGAGCAGGGGGAATTGCCTGCAGTTTATACGGTTGAATTTCTGTAAAAAAGTTATTCGCAAAATCAAACATTCAGCTTTTGGACTGTGCTACTGCCACTGCTGGATCTTCATCTTCAAAAGTTTGGGCCATATTGAATTGAAATAAGCTGAAAAACACTCTGTAATTTTAAGTCAGTTTTAGTGTGTCTAGAAGTCTTGTAAAGCATTTAAAAACCAGGAGAAGTTGTAAGCCACCATCGGCTTCTTATTGTGTTTAGGTGCAAGAATACTTTAGGTTTTTAGTTCTTTGCAAGTTCTATTTATATCCCTCGACTGATGTGTGGCCAGCCTTGTGTTTGTCACGGCAACAATGTAGTCACTGTTCCCATTTTAATTGGTGATAACGATTTGCAGTTGAGGAATGCTATCTTGGAAGTAGGGAGGATTTAAATTTCAGTTGTACATTTTTCTACATAGCACTACAATGTTTATTGCTTTTTTGTGATAATCAATAACCCATTCAGATACCTGCACACAATTATTTTAATTAAGAAACTACTATGGATTGCACTGTATTAAATATCTTGATTAATTTTCATCTGCGGCTACCGTTGTCAATTCTTTGTGATGTTTAAGTGGCTAGAACTTAGGTGCGGTTTGGCCTCTTCCCTCATCGCTGACACACGCTCTTCGAAGCTAGCTGAGCTCTGCCTGTGTGACTGCGGCTTAGCTGTATGAATCTACAGTCTTAGCTGAGCAGAATCGCTGGAGGGCTACTGTAGCTGTTTTCTTGTGATAATGTTCGGGTCCACCATATCAAAATCCCCACAGTAAGGAGAAATCAAAGCTGAGTGAATAGTAGAAGCAACAGGTTTAGAGACAGAGCTGGGAGCCTTGGCTTTGTATTTGTTGTCATAGAAGCGATAGCTGTGGTGCACTGTGCTGGCAAATGTGTTTTAAAGCAGTAGCGTTATAGGAGTTATAGGTGAGCATCTCGAGGGCAGTGAAGTGTCTTCATAGAAGTGTTCAGGTATAGCTGGGAGAGGAAAAAGGAATCCCATAAGCACTGTTAATGCTTTTAAGGTTACTGCTGTAGAAGCTCAGAAACTGTCAGCGGCAGAGGCACCACCTGGCAGCCCAGCTGTTTCCTGGGTTACGCTTGCTTTCCTGTTCATTTAGCCAATTGCTTTAACTGAAGGAAGAACCTGGTCTGCACAGCAGGAAGAAAATGCAATAATGCGTGTGTGTGTGTCATGATTCCTGTTTACTTTTAGCCAGACAGCCAGGACAACCTTACTTCTTACGACCTATTTTTACTTGATTGTTTTACTAAATGATGAGGTGGTGCCTTAGTATGTCTGAGGACCAGTCACCTTTCTGCTTTGAATATCACTGAATTCCTTGATACTTTGCATCCTATCAGTGAATAGCTAAAATGCTTGGAGTGAAACACTTTTCTGCCTCGCTTGGGCTTGTTCTGTGGGCAGAACTTGACCGTCAGGAGCACCAAGATGCAGTGTGAAAGGAAGCAGCTCTCAACTGCCAGCTGGCTTTCTGTAGCTGTACGCTCTCTGCCCAGGCTTTCCCTGTCCTAGGAAAGGCAGTCTAGTTCCTACTAGGAAACTATTCTTAATGAACTTGCCCTCATTGAGCAGCTTAATTTGCAGCTGCACCAGTGTTTCCTTGTAGAGCTGCTGTTCCATGTTGAAGGAGGCAAGCAGAAATCCCCACCAGGTATTTTCAGTTTGTGGTTAACTCTTGTTTTTTCCTGTAGGGAAGGTGGAAAGCATCGTCGGTGTTGCATATGCGTGTATGAGCCTGACACCACATTTAACACAGGGCAAAAATCCCTCCGGACTGATGGACCTCACGACTGCTTTCCCCTTGGAACGCTTTCGGCCTTTCACAGAGGGATGGCCCTTATCTCTGCTGGGCAGGTGGAGAAACCAGGCCGTTGCATCACTTTGACCCTCGGGAGGCACAGCGCAGGAGTGGCAGGGAAGCGTTTTGGGTTTATGCTGCGCGTTTGGGTCGGGGGAGTCAGGAGAGAGATCGCTGCGTGGTGGCTGCTCCAAGGCTCAGGGTTTTACTCGCACCAAGTACCTGCTTTTGTACCTTTACAACAGGGCGAACACGCAAAGATAGCTCGCAAAAGCTGGGCCAGAGGGTGGCTGAGGTGGCTTTGCTTTCAGTGCTGCCGACTATAAACCTCAGGAGACGTCCTCCCCCCGGGGGCTGGAGGGCACTTGTGTTGTACAGCAGGGGGGTGGCTGCTCTCTCCCAGGAATAATGGAAATCCATAGCTCTGCCCAATACATCTTTCTGTGAAATTGATCTTTACTGTTGGATCTTTACCTTTCCAGATGTATAAATGGCTTTTCCGTGTGCCTTTCCTGGTCTTCAACAGATGCTCTTTCTGGGACTCTTTTAAGATACATTTAACTGCAAGAACGTTCCGTGTAGTGTTAAATAGGCAGGAAATAAGAGGGGCTCCATTAGCCACTGGTGTGGCAAATCACTCTCCAGTTGCTTAAGTGGTGAGTTACAAGCAAATTTGCTTGTTAGTTAGTGCATGTTCGTAATGGGCTGTCATCGCTTCGAGGGACGTCCCTGGTGCGAGCGCTGAGAGCTCGCTGGAGAGTGTTTCGCCTCGCACAGGGGTCCGGGTGCAGTGGGGGCAAAGCAGTGTGTCCTGTGGGGGCGCTTGGGTGCGCAGCCCACCGGGAACCGTCTGGGGTTGCAGTGGGGGGCAATGTGCTCACTAAAATGTATAACCTACTTTTTGGTACTTGAAGTGTTTGAGGGGAAAGTGTGACTTCTCCAGAAAAAGTCATCGGACCCTTGTCTTTGCCTGCAGGGCAGTGCTCCCCAGGAGTGAGTGCTGTACCCCAGCTGCCTGTCCCTAACAGACCTGCTGTGGGCCAAAGGCTGCTGGACGTGCCACAACTGCTCGTGTGTTCACAGGTCTGCCCTCACTGCTCGAGGCTAAACGGCCTGCTTTGTGTCAGTGAGGAGAACAGCTCCAGTGCTGAGGGAAGGAAGAGCTGTTTGTCTTCTCCACCTGCTTCGGTTCGAGCATTTCACGTCCAGCACGCACGAAGCGCTGCGTATCGACCAGCAGCGCTGCGCCTGGGGAAGTCCCCTGCTGCCCACGGCCACCGGCCGTACCGCCAGGCTCAGAC